AATATTTACCTTGTACCATTATATGTTGGAAATGTTTAACTTTATTTTCATTTGTATAGGAACTTGCAGCTAAGAGTTTGCTTCCCATCTCTTGAGAAGACTTTGACTTTTCAGCAATGCTGAAACTGTTAGGACTTAGGCAACTCTTAGAGATGGACCGTCTTTTGTATAAAAGATGTACATGAGCCTTTGGGGGCATAGGGGTGGAATGATAATGTTGTTTGGATGCCTGCCCCCCAAGCCTCATGCAATCATGGATGTGGCTGAATTTAGTATTTGTGATTAGTTTGTTGTCTGGTGCTGGGATTGGCATTGAGTGCTCCACCCACCCAGGAGTGGAGCTGATATACCAAGTGCAGGAAGAAGGCATGTCTTCCCTTTCTCTTGCTCTGTTTGTGTTTGTTGTTTGTGGTGTTTATGAACCGCAACCTTACCATGCTGCCCAGCCTTGGAGCTAAGTATGGACTGCAAATCTCCAAAATTATAAGAAATAAACATTTCCTTGCTTCACTTTGGGTGTCAGGCATTTTGTCTCAATGAAAGAAAAAACTAAGACAACAATTAAAGGTAGAAAATTTATATTAGCAATAAATATGACCCAAAAAATCTATGATGTATTCCAATTCAAGTAGTAACCAAGAAATGAAAATATAAAAGAGAAGCAGCAGGACATGGTGATATAAACCTGTAATCCCAGAACGGTGGAGGCAGATGCAGGAGGATCTTAAACTCAAATCCAGCCTGGGCAACTTAGCAAAACTGTTTCAGAACACACACACACACACACACACACAAGGGTTAAAATGTGGTCAGTACAAAAGCCCTTAGTTCAATCCTATTACACACACATGTGTGTACACACATAGGGAGTTACCATTTTTCATGATTGTCTAATATTTAAAAGAATGAAACAGGTACTGCTTGACATAAACATGTGCTCCTGCAATTGAAAAAGCCTATTCGTCAAACACAATTTTCTTACAAGAAATAATGCTGAACTGGGAAATACAGTCACAATGGGGAAAGAATATGACTTACACTATAAATGTGAGTGTCCTATATAACAAAGAAATTATACTAAAAATAAAAAAAACTGGCATTTAGGGCTGTTGATTGTAGAGTGATACACTGGTAGAAATCATAATAAAATGTTGAAGATTATTCTCAATATTAAAAACACTTCAGCTAGAAGGTTCTCTTCTAGGTTTCTTCTATTTCTAAAATGAGTCAATTACAGCACACATTTAATTAACAAGTGCATCAACAAGTAAACTGCACAACAGATCAAAGGCTAAAGCAAGCTCTGTATTCTCTCTGCACTCAGGAGACTGGTGAATATGCACCATGACCTGAAAACACCCAGACTGAACAGCGGTGGCTTTTGCAAACAGATTGTCATATTAAGCATTCTAAAAGAGATGGATGTGGAGCACATTTTGGGAATACATTTGGGCAACAGGTCACTAATGCCTGCTAAATGTCTATACCTTTTGACACTGCAATTTTGACTTGTGGGAAGTCATTCTATGAAAAAGAAGTTCTAGTATTAATTACAGTATTATATTTAATGGTGAGAAATAAGGAACAATTCAATGAACAGCAGCAGAATAATGGTGAAGATATATCCAAACAAACACAAAAATATCTTTTAAAATAATGCTTTGTGTGTCCTAAAGGCATTCATAAAGATGTGCAAAACTCAGAAAACATATATCCTAAAGTGTTGGTACTAGTGATGGGACAATGGATGGTTTTAATTTTTTTCTGGATTGTTGCCCTTGCTTTTTGGTTTTCATTTTTAAAAAAAGTACTTCTTATAATCTTTTCACATCAATAAATAAGTGTTAAAAAGATCACTATAGGGTGTAGTGGCACATTCCTATAATACCAGTAGTTGGGAGGCTGAGGCAGGAGGAATTTGAGACCAGCCTGGGCTACAAAGTGAGCTCAAGGCCAGCATGAATTGCATAGCAAGATCCTGTCTCAAAAAGACAAAACGAAACAAAATACAACCACTATATAAATGTAACAAACAAAAACTTGCAAAAACAAAAGGGCTAGTTTATGTATTTACTATTTTAAGTTACTAGTAAAAACATTAAAATTCCAATAAAAGAACAATTAAGGGAAAATTAAAATGTATAAAAAGAGCTTCTATAACCAAGTCTAAAATAAGACAACATACGTATCCTTCTATTAAATTGGAATTAAAAATATCAAATAGATATTTTCAAACTTCACTATACCATTTAAACCAGCACTTTCATTTCTGGGATTCCAGTCAAGAGGAATAATCCTAAAAGGATCACAACATCTCTGGTAACAGTATAAGAAATACAGTAGATAGTTTGTGATATAAATACATTGGAAATATTTCAACAAGACTTCAAGGTAATAAACATCCTTCTTGATATGAAACCCATCTGCCAGAATGTAAGGGATGCAGAAATGGAACAAGGGGTCACCTGATTCCAATTTATGGAATCCCAAAAGGTGGTAACAATCAAAGAGAACTCATTCCAAAGGAGCGTCAGAGGCTGCTTCAATGTGAAAAATCTCATTCACTTCATGGGACAAAATTTAATTACTGGCAAAAGGAGGATATTCAAGATGTGAAAACTGAAGAAACACACAAACAAACAGCAATAGTATGACAGTCCTCCCTCCCCAAAAGAGCTGGTGAACTGTTTACTATTTCAAGGTTGCAAACACTACCAGGTTAGATGGAGATGCTCAGATTTCAAATGAATAAAATTTGTTTACTTGCCCCCCACTACTTGATGCTTTTAGGCCATTTTAAAGAAAGTTCTGTCTACTATAAGAATATGAAAAACATAGCCACCTTGAATCCCTTTTGAAATAGATACAAATTGATAAACAGGGTCATCATCCTGATGCTTATGATCTAGTGGAGAGGAGAAAGACAATATTCAAGTATGCATATGGCGGGGCTGACTCCGTTCTCACACTCCGCCCGTTTACACCCTTCATGCTCATGAATGTTCACTGACTCACTTTAAATGACAGCATTTTTCTCACACTTCAAACCAATCCTATATTGATCATTACTTCTCAGACTCACTTCCAACTATAACACTGAGAAGTGAAAGAAAGACAGCTTCTCTATTAATCGACTACATTCTACAGAGAGTCTCGGAGAACACCTGAAGCCAGCACCTGTTATCTGCATAATGCAGCTGACATACCTTTTCAACTGCCATGCCAGATCCCTGTTACCAAATGAATCTACAGTTAGAGAATAAACCAGAATAAAAACACTGACAACACAGAGGTGTGAAGAATAGTTATAATTAACCCTTTCTAAAATAAAAGATAAATGTAACAATACATAATAGAATAATATAACTTGTTTTCCTTTTTACTCAAAGCATAAAGCAGAGACAATACACCAAGTTCACATGCACTTTAAAAAAAGTGAATATACATATCGAACATGGAAATCCAGTAGTAATTTATCAACCCTCCTCAATCAATGTGGTGCTAACTGGTAGCCTGGCCAATACATTTCTGGGTCTTGACATCAGTCAAGGACATCGGTGTAAGTGGAACAAAGCAGTGCGTCTGCAGCAGTTGATTGCATTGCCTACCAATGAAGAGGTGCCCCTCCAACCTGCCCACTCCCTCTTCCTCAAAATAAAAACTGTATCCCACAGCCCTCCATGAAACGGTCTCCTAAGAAGTCCCAAAGCATTTATTTTCCTAGATACCCTACACATTAGCACTGAGGAAACACAAAAGCACTTCAACATTCTCAATTCCTGAGATAGTCCTTGTGTATGAAATTTCCCTATCATACAGAGAAATGGAAGTTCACAAAACAAAAGAAGACAAAATATTCTACTCTTCTTGCATGCACAGCTTGAGTGAAAACTTTGTTGTTGTATTAGAAATTTTAATAAAATCGAAAAATTTTCAAAACTTTTTCCAATTATCAATACTATATGCATCATATACCTCATTTTGGTAGTACAAGCTGTGAAGTGGGCTATAAAAAGAAACTACTTGGAATACATTTTTATCTAGGCATCTCTAGGAAAATACGGTTAAGATTAACAGCTATAGAACTTGTCTTAATAAAATTAATGCAATCAGTAATATGTTTTATGAGTAAATTTAAAATGATTAGCATACATTTTCCCCAATTCTAGGAACAAAAAAGAGCCCTCATCACATATAGCTATCATCTCAGTGCTGAATCTTGGACATTAACCTAAAAAATATCTTTAAAAGTGCTTTGCAGGTATTACCTAGTCTCATGGGAACACAAGAACAAAATATGAGAAAAAGCTATTCTAATCCAACCGACTAGTTTCAAGCAAAAATGAGAGCAATTCTGTGTATCATCAATATAAGAAATTTGGGGAAGGAACAGTATACATTATAGTAATTTAGAGTCATACACATTTTGCTTTCCATGCAAAATCATTTGTAATCTGAACCCAGTGTAACTGTACAACACTGGAGATACAGCCAAGCACTGTCCTACAATTTACAACTATGTTATATGGTCATCTTTTTAAAATAATTGAACTATATGAGAAATGTAGTTAAATTAAATCAAATATTTTGATACACAGGTATAAATAAAGAGGAGAGTTTGGTACATACAAATACACAAATAAAAAGGCTCAAGATCTAAATGATATAACACTCAAAATTACTAACCATATGAGAAGGTCCTCTTAGGCAAGGAGCAAGTGCTTACTAAAGGTTTTTAAATACATGGTATTTTCTCTGAAAATGTTTTCAAAAATAGTTTTCCACTCTTTACCTAACGCAAAAGGTCCCTTGTACTAGGGTCATGAAATATTTTCATTAGAAGAGAGGGGAAAATAGCTTTGCTGCTGTTTACACTTATACTGTGAGTTGTTGAGGATTAGATGGGTATTTTTAATCTCAAGCTTTTTTATTCAAATCAACCACAAACTGGGACTTCGAAATCCTCAGTTCTGTGTCATCAGTAAAACAATCACATACAATACAATAGAAAACATATATAATTTATTAGATGGACTTAAAAATCAACACAAATCAATTTCAGGCACTTCTTGAATACAGACTATGGGAATTTTCTACCAAAAGAATAGCATATCTAGCAGGCAGTAACATAAAAATTTAAGCTTTAGTTTTTAGAACAATATGCAAAGGCCAGACAATTTTAAGAAATACTATGTAAGCATTGCTGTTACATTTCTTTCCATTCCCACCACACCATTCTAAGGTTAAACTGAAGTCACGTTTCTGTATTCAAAGTGCTAAATTCTAGCTTCCAATTACTCCATTGTCATGGTCTCAAAATTATTATGTATCTTTGATATAGTTTTAGTGACGTGTAAGTGGAGCTTCAGAGACATTCTGTAATGTATTTTCATCTACACAGTCAATGCATGAAGTTGATTGTATCTTTTAAAACCCCTTTCAATAGGCTTTTTGTAAAAATAGGCTTTTTATTACTAATTCCTTTAGACATCTAATGCTGACTTGTTCTTTCAGTAAATATGAGGAAAATGGAATATGGCAACAGATTAATGAAGTCTTTAGGTTACAAACTACACAGATTCCACTTGGCATATTTTTCCAAATTTAACTGACTGAACTGCTATTTCCAACTATTTATGGTAAACGGATGATAATACACATAACTTAAATTTTAGGACTAATTAGCATACAGCACAAGTGTCTGTGAGATTTTAGATTATTTCTCTTATCCTCAACCTACTTCTCAGAATATGATGTTAAAACTAAGAAGCTTTAAAATGTTATACGCAGTATTCATTTATAGGATTCAACTACCGGCAGCTGTACACTGTATATACCACAATCTAGTCTTCTGGCAATTCCCTCTGATGAACTAAGTCCCAATCAGTGCATCAAGTTAGTGATGGGTGCAGTTAGTAACTAGAGAAGCTACGCAGAAACTAATGGTTGAAGAGTAAGTTTAGCCTATCTTCTGGACAGAGAAAGTGTGAGTTCACTAATGGTGAATAAACATAGTGGGGGAACAAGGATAGCTTAGCCATGTGAAAGGATCCTGAAGCAAGAAGCTCTAAAATTTCAAGAGTAGAAGAGGCCAAACTCAAGTCATTTAAAGAAACTTGTTTTTACCCAGCCTTGAAAATGGGACTGATGCCAGGATACAAATGGGAAGTTGACAAAAGACCCCCAAAGTTCTCAGGCAGTCTATGTGCGCAATCCCTTATATACAAAGTAAAACAGCACACACACACATTCTAAAAAAATGCCTGGAGAGAAAGCTAGAAAGCTGTCTACAGTTTTCCTATTTGCACTAATATAAACAGATTATGAGGTTGTCTATACTGTACGTGGTTGCTATAGTTAAAGCAAAAATTGTAAAGTGCCTGTAGAGCGGGGATATTAGAGTCCCATTTCTAAGGCATCTTAATATTACACACTCAAATAAAAGGTAAAGATCTCAGGGACCTCATAGCTTTCCTTAAACGCTCCACACTTGTCTTGTGATTTTCTCTAACTACTTAGTACACACTTTTAAAAGGCCAGAAAATAGCTTTTCTTCCCTTTATTTTATGCCACACCTCTAAAAATCACATTTACCACCTACATTAAAAATTGCCAACCACGAGTGCTAAAGTATGTTTTTATACTTAAGGCAAAATGTTATATAAGAAAATGAATATCCAAGCCCTGCTGCCCCAACTCCTTCACCTTCCCTGCATTTTTTCCCCATCATGAAGGCCAAGATGTGCTGCAAAGATAAAACTAAATAAAAATTTCAAACAAAACCATCAATACACTGTAAAAGATCTACTTTATAAATGCTACTGGGGTAAAATTAAGTATATTCAAGTGCTTTAGCATATGATCATTTTTACCAAATTATTAAGAGAAGTTATATGACTCTCAAAATTAGTATCAAAATAGGATATTTAAATCCAGCCACATATACGGAAGTATGAACTTTTATTATTTTCAAAGCTGAGCACAATGATGGTAAATGAGACCCAAAAGAAGTATATTAAAAACCCCAAAGCACTTTCCTTTGCTTTAATTCCACATAAATTACATATAAACTGTTTATGTGACTGTTCATTAAGCTCTGTATTTTACTTGGAAACAATACTGTTAAAATAATTTTGGTATTTTCCTACATGAACTTATGTTGTTTTTCCCTAGCTGTAATCTTGGTTTTATGTACAAGTACACAGCTACCATCTTACTTTTGATGCATAGCCTAGAAGGGTAGAAAACAACCAAAAAATCATGTTTTGTAAATGTAGTATAAGATTTCATGCATTCTCATGATGTGTCAATAGTCAACTATATTAAACCAACTATAACAATGTAGTACATGCTTTAAATATCCAGTAAGAGAATACACTACAGACAACACCTAGTAACAAAGGAATGTGCTGGTACAACACTGAATAGCAATTAATTGCTACTGATGTGGTAACAATCCAGAACACTAAACATGTTATTATTCAAATTAAAACATAAAAACAATAAAATGTATAGATTTTCAGGGCTACTTTACAGAGTATTTGTCTCTGAAGAAATTACAAAATAGATTTGGTTTTTAATACACAAGTTATGTCTTACAGTGATGTGAAAAAATACAAGAACATATGAACAAAGCATAGTACTTAAAGATTTACTTCTGTAAAAGTATGTTGACAAATATTAAATGTTTTATCTGAATTTGAACATTAAAATGAATGTAAAACACAAAACTTCAATGTTAATATTGATCTGTCATGTCTAATTTGGATTTAGATAGAGTAATTTATATTTTATAGAAAGAAATTTTCAAAGTTTCATTAATGCTCTCTTTGCATGTACTATCATTCCTTATTAAAACATTTCACTGAAATTTAGAAAGCTGGTGTCAAAAGTAGTTATTTCTTTCCTTGAATATTCCGTAACACGCCCTTTTGAATTAATTTTCAAAATTTTAGTGCATGAAAAATCCATGAATAGAGTACCCAAAAATATCTTTTAACACAGGTTAATTTTGTTGATAATTATGGGAGAATACCTTTAAGATAGTAAAAGACAAACCGGAAAAATCCTATGCAAATTATTAAAGGTGTCTTGGGTCAAATTATCACTTAGTATAAATAACATACCATGTCAATCAATTTCTCAAATTCACAAAAGCCTTACAAAATTACACATTATAATTGTGAAACAATGCATCTATGTGGCGGAAGAAGATATATAGAAAAACTTACAGAAACAAAATCTCAAACCATCTCCACTCCTAAAATAAAGCACTCTGCAAACTGAGATGTTACTTCCCAATGGTACTTGGAAGGCATGCCTTACACTCTCAAATTCACTTTCATTGCTTGACATATAATTTAAAACTTTAAGACTTTAAATTGTTTAGTAATACTTTTATAATGTTATTTCTCTGGAAAGACATGCTTCACACAATAGTTTTCATTAAGAAATCACTGGATAGTTTTAATCACAATGTATGATCAACTGATTAATGGATTAACAAAGTATTCAGCAAATTTAAATGGCATAAAATCAACAAAAGAATGTGGTAAATGTTCATTGTGCAATCTGTCTGTTAGTAATACCAAGCCAAAAATCTGACAGTCCACTGAGTTGGTTTCCATGTGTGCTACTGAGCAACAAAAAATAGGTAAATACCATGTTAAACTTTTTCATTTTTTTTTCCTGAAGAGCAGCTCAATGATTTGAGGGGTTGGTTAATACAATACAGATAACATAGGGGAAAAGTACAAAGTAGCACTTTAACACCAGTGCCAGTAAATATCTCAATATGGTAATCACTAAGGATATTAATTTTTGTTATTTGCTTTTCTTAGAACATGAATCAAAGCCATTAACTTGAACTTGAGGTATATACACAATACATACACAGACTTAAGCAAAATACTTTTTGTAAGTAACATTACATTTCAAAATATTGGAAACAGTATGTGCTGATTTGTATTTTGACTTAATGGAACAAGAGAACAACATTCAACTAGGGAGGGTTATACTGACAATAAAGCTCTTTCAAAGTTCAAAATGTCTTCCTCTCCCTTTGTACTTACCACAGGCTCTAAAATGTCCTGAGAGGATTCATTATGAGAAAAATATCAATCACAGCTTTAATATATACTTTGGAAGGAACTAATGAGAAAGCAAATTGGAAGGTGAAACTTCATTCTTGTTTTCAAAGAAGTGGTCTCAATTTTTCTTTAGAAAAAGTTTAAATCAGTTTATTATAAATATATCTAAACCATTAATTTTTGCAGCTTTCAGGTAAAATCCATGAGAAGAGATCAGCAGAGATCATCTAATTTTAAGTCGTGACATCATCCATTCAAGCCCTTGGCATAATCTATGAAGAAAAACATCATTTGATTATATTCTCAATTAAAAAAAATATGGACTACAAACTAAAAGACTGTTTTTCATTTATTTGAAAAATAAAAATCTAATGATCAGTAATACTCAAAGCTGGTGCTGTTGCAACGAAGCTACACTGGCATACATGGGATATCCATGCTTCAGTTTGTATCCCTGGGGCCTAGAACACTGCCTGATATACAAATAATTACATGACAGATGTCCCAGAGTACAATCTGGCAATATGCCAAAAATATTAAAAATATCAATACTATGTATTCATTTTTCTAATTCTAGATATGTACCAAAAATTAGAGTGAAAACAGTAAGACTAAACATACAGTACTTTTTAAGAGAAAAAAGTAGAATTTAAGTGTAGAAATAGAGAAAAAACTGACAAATTATCATATTCATTATGAACTACTAAAAATTTCCTTTACTAATATTTTGATATGAAAAATGCTCATGAGTATAAATGAAATAAAAAGGATGTTTAACTATAAAGCTAACAATGCACGTGTATTACATATGAATATAAAAATATGAAAGGAATAACATTTCACATCATTAACACAAGATACCACTGAACAGCAGGTAACTGGACTAATCTGAAGCATAGGAAGGGCTCAGTATATGGTGGCACCTGCCTAAAACCTGTTACTTGGGAGGATGAGACAGGAGGATCTCAACTCAAGGGCAGCCTAGGAACACAGTTAAGACTCCATTTCAAAAGCCAAACATAACAGAGTTTTAAATACAGAATGGTAATATTTATTGTAACAAATAAACTGAACGTTTAACAAGAGAGAAAATGTTTAAGCATTATGACAAAATAAAGGAATGTCACGAAGTACTAGTACCTGAGATTTTGTAAACATGAAAAACTATGCTATAATACTGTATTTTAAAAACTTCATATTTCCATGTTATATACAAGTCTAATGCAAAAAAAGATAAAATGGTAAGGAAGTAAACAAATGGTTGTTTTTGGGTGGCCTATATGTTTCTCCAGTAACTAGATTCCTACTTTTAAACTACTGATAGGAAACATAGCTAATAAATGAATAGCCTTAACTTCAAATTGTTAAATGAAAATTATTTACCTAATAGCAAACTAGGAACTGTACCTTGCATCTGACATCATTATTTTAATTAATATTTACAACAGTAAGCTCAGAATCTTTTCCATGTTACGAGGAAACAGAGGCTTGCAAATGACGAAGTGGGAGTTAAAATGAGGTCAATCTCCAAAGTGTATGATTTCTAGTAGTTTAAATCAAATGTTGACCAAAAGCTGAAGCAAAAATTTGGAACAAGATATTTCCTACTACAGATGTGAAATGGAACGTCTTCCTCAAAATGAAACATTTCTGCTTGCCAACTGCTACACATGGAAGCCTGTTTGAACCAAACTTTGAAATGGCAGTACCATCTACTGCTTTCCTCTTTTCAAACTGACTTTATATAGCAACACAAGTTATACTGTCCATACAATTATCCAATTATTAAATCCTAGATGATTTGTTATTACCAAATTTAACACTATAATCAGTGGTTTTTACTTCATAGGTATGTTTTTATTTAAATGAACACATAGAGAACTGACATTAGCTGAGATTTTTAATGAACATGTTTGATTTTTTAATGTTCTAATCATGCTCTTCTAAATGTCTGCCCAAATGTCTCTATTTCCTTAAGATTTGCTTCAATAACTCCTAACATTGGTTCACCCTTCATTATGGTTTTGAGAAAAAAACTCTCATTTTACTGAAGTCATCAACCTATACCCCAATATTCTACCCTTCTGAACACTTTACTTTGATTTATTTTTACAATCCTCCATCTCTAATTTTCCTTCTATTTATACACTTAATTTTTGAAAAATAACAAAAAACTTTACTTGCACTTGGTTCCTGCTTTTTAGCTTTTATCTATTTCCAACTGCTCTATTTCATCTCCTACCTTTTCTTGCCACACTCAACAGTTTGCAGCTGTTTTCCTAAAACCCACCTCCCACTTATCAAATGCTATCTTCAGTTCTAACTTAAAATGTGACATAATATAAAGACCTAAGAAAGTACTGACTTCTCTGGCTCTCAACAACACTCTCATTTCTGAGCTCCTATTGCAACTGCATCATCTATATTCTTGTATGTACTTGTATTCAGTAGGTTCAAATGTATTATGTTTATGTTGTCTTAGTAAAGAATTACCCTAAAAAAAAAAATATCTGAATATAGACACCAACTATGTCTTACATCTCCCTCTCAAATATTTATCCATCTTACAAAGGCATAGATGCTTTGAGGCTAGATAACATGTCACTAAAGAGGAAGATTTCTTACCCTTCACCAGTAAGAGCACAGCATGCTTGGATATGCCACTGATGATCTTTAATAGAAGTGAGCTTCAAGAACTGGGAGATTTCTGCTACAGTCATGCATTCTTTAACATCTTGTTTATTAGCAAAAATCAGCAGTCCAGCTTTCCTTAGGTCCTATAAAAGCAAATGAACCTTTAAAGGTAAGTACATTTTATCCTGTATACTTTCCAGTAACTATTTTTTATAACTTCAGTAACCTAGTGTTCTATACAAAAACATCTTGTAGCTTACAAGCTAACAGAAGTAAACTTACACAAAACTGTGCATTTAAAACAAGTAAATACAATATATTACAAGCTAACAGAAGTAAACTTACAAAAAACCGTGCATTTAAAACAAGTAAATATTTTACAAACTTATTTATTTCTTATAGTCTTGGAACATTTTTTTTTAATGGTCCTAAGCACTATTATTTAACAGTCGTTTGATCAAAAATACATTCACTATCTGAGTACAAAATTAGGCTTAAATGGACAAAAGCCGACATTTAGTCTGGTATTCAAGAGCTCCAAGATTCTACCTTACTTGTACTTCACATTTTCTGCCTTACCTAACATCACTCACTATATAAATACTCTTATTTTAATTAGCAATCTATCTTCCGCTCTGTAAGCAATTTTGGGCCGTTCTGTCTGTTGTTCAAATCATTTCACCTGCATCCATTCCTTTCAATTATTTAAAGCAGCCTTTCACCGCTAGAGTTCTGCAAGAGAATTAAGCGCTACAAAAAATTATTTTTCCATTCTTTCTACATGTATAAGAAATAAATGAATTCAGTATATAAAATGCTTATCTTTGGCCTAAACTTTTAGTAGAGATACAGTATTCTAACCCAATCCTATTTATCCTCTGAAACCTAACTCCTCTTTGTCCAAGATTTCTGAGATCTACATATGCAACAGGATCATCTTAGATAGGCACTACATTTACTAAATTTCCTAATGGAAGTTCCACTTGTATGTTATCAGTCTGTGGCAAGTCTTTTAAAACTCTGAATTTGTTCCTCAGTAGTAACATTTATCTGACTTGAGATAAAACTCACCATTAACCCTTTTCCAAGAACAATAATTGTGCATACCACAAATGATTCATATGTCTTATTCACAGAACAGGCCTAAGGAGTCTTAAGTCTCTTCCTGTCCTACTTCTCCCCACCCCTGAGACATCTGAAAGCCAGAGACTTACTGGATAATTCAGTTAAAGTCAAAGACCTTTTCCTTATACCAATAATACTTCTTGAAGTTTATGTCCAATTTCAGAGTGTTAACAGATAACCCTACACTCAAGTCATGATCCTAGGCCAACAATTCATGAAGGATGTAACTCAACTGATTGAAGTCCCATAAAATTATATATAAATATATAAATAAATTTTATATGGAAATCTTATTTATATATCTTTTAAAAATCGTATTTGGAAATACTGACAAAATTAATCCTGGCAAATTTCTTCAGCTGTGTTGTACATCATTTTGAAGAATTTTAGTGGAATATTTTGGTTTTAATAATGTGAATGTGTTTAAAATAAGTCTTCAGTAGGTACCTCTATAGTATTTTACTTTATTATTTTTTTGGTTTTTTTTGGTAGAGGATAGAACTCATGACCTCACACACTTGCCAGGCAGGCGCTTACGCCACTGAGCTAAAAATCTCCAGCCCTACTTCTTTCTTATATAAACAGAATTTCTTGTTTGCTTAAAGGACTTATACAGAATGTTTTACACACTCATAATGACTGATTTTTAGTTACTCTGCCCTCTGCAGGATGACAGCTACCACTGCTACCACAGTTAATGATGCAGTTGCCTGAACGGCAAGTTCAAAATGTGATACTACAACGTAAGTTTTAAACTCTTGTGGTCACCTAGCTTCACCTATTCAGGCCACATGTCTATATAAAACTCAAGAAACTGAAAAGAGGTAGATATATAAACATCATCAAGAGCATAAAATTTTTTTATTCTAAATGGAAAGTGGAACCATTATTAATAGTTGATATGTGGTTGAATCACTAAGGAGATGAACTTTCCATGGAATTGAATTTCTATCTTCCTATCTTCTAGGTTTCAATATCCCTTGGGAGTGTGTGTTGAAGTCTTTTACAGAGGTCAGATCTGATAATGCTAGCATGGTTCAAAGAACAAAATGCTGACATAAATTCTTTGTACAAATTAGGGCAAATACTTTCCTATTATTTTACTGTAAATAATTTATACTCATCATTATTGTTAAAGTTATTTACAGAAGGCCTTAAACAGAAAATAGAAAAACACAATAACTAAAACCATTTACTGGAGAATCTTCAAATAAAATAAAACACCAAATATAACTTTCTCTAGGTATCAGATAAGGGTCAACCACTATTGGGGAGTTTTTGATTTAAAAAAACCAGCTGTATTACTTATGCCTAAATATTTGGGAAAAGAGAGAAGAAAAAATATTCTTTGTTTTTCATTACATAACTATAGGACCAATTATACACTATGACAGCAATATAAAGTGTGGTGGATTAAGGTCGCTCATCAACTTGAGTTAAAATCAGGTCAAAATATAAGATGAACAATGGTGACTATGCACACGTCACCTTAAACACATTCTGCTAAGTATTATATGTATCTGTTCTTAACAGTTTACAATGTATTCTATTTTAGTCAAGGAGATGAGTAACAGCAAATGTATTTACTAAGCATCTTTTATATTCCATATAAAGATGTCACTTTATTTCTCAAAGCTTCATCAAGATAATTGCTAGAACCTGAGTCATTAGGGAAAAAATTATAGATCTGGGTGTTTATAATCATTTAAAAAGTAATTATCTTCAAAATTTTAGACTTCATTTAAAATAAAATTTTAAACCAGGAGTGGTGGTTCATGCCTGTAATCTCAGCACTTGTGAGGCTGAGGCAAAAGGATCGTTGTGAATTTGAGACCAGCCTGGGCTACAAAGTGAGCTCAAGGCCAGGCTGAACTGCACAGTGAGTCCCTGTTTCAAAAAGACAAAAAATAAAACTTTATTTTCAAAGCAGTTTTATATTTTCTGAATATATATAAGAATTACATCAACAATGATAATGATTAAGACTTCGTTGTTTAATGTAACAAGTATATAGGACATCCAAATTTATCCCTCCCTCTCCCCTCTCTCCACCCCCTTGCCTCAGCCTAAGTAACTATGATTACGTATGTCCCACCATGCCTGACTACACGTTCTTTTTTTAATCCATTGAACTCCATGTAATTTTGGCACTGCTCAAACCCTCCTAAATATTCAGCCTGATTTTACATGTAATTCCTTTCTTTATAACCTCCTTGTTTATAGTCTTTCATGTTTAATGAGGCCTTATTTATGTCTCTTTCTTTTTTTCTTTCCCTAGCAAAGAGCCTAAATAGGAATACCTAAGCGTGGTGACTCCTTTTTTTTGGAAGAGGCAGGTTGAAGCAAGGTTTTGCTATGTAGTTCAGGTTGGTCATGGGCTCACTGTAACCCAGGTTGGCCTTGAACTTGCAGCAATCCTCCAGGTTCATCCTCTTAATTGCTGGCATTACAGGAATGTGCTGCTATGTTCAACTAAATTTTTAATTTATGTCACTAATAATTTCTCAAGGATTAACGCAATGTGGCTCGTCATCTAATTTTGTTTAGTCAAAGGGACAATACCAGAGAAATCTAAAAGCACCTGTATTTAAAATATTAGCTAATAACTGCAAAAAATAGTTATTATATATGTTGGTCTATAAAATATGATTTCCAACAATATCCTTCATATGACTAATCCATTTCAAGTGCAAAATGAAAGCTACTTGTAGGAATTCTTTGTGTGCACAGAAACTTCCATACCAAATTTATCGAGGATAAATGAGAACACTATTCTCCAGCTGATACCACAATCCTTCTGCTACCTCTAGATACACTTCAAATTTGGGTAGTGTAAAATCATAAAACAAACAAGGCCAGCAATAAAGAATTTTAAAAAAAAATTTAAAAATAGATAAAATCTTCATGAAAAACCAGAAAAAAAAAATGAATGTCCTACAAATACCCTCCTCCCATGTCTGACGTAGACAGATGACTTACCTCATGAGCTAACATTTTGTAGAGTTCTTCTCTAGTTACAGAAATCCTCTCTCTGTCTGTACTGTCCACAACAACTATTACAAACTAAAATAATTACCAAAAACAACATTAGTGATTTCTTATCTCACTGGCATTTATAAATTTATACAGTGCTTATTTGATTTAGAGACTAACACCAGAACATTAGATACTTAATGGTATTTTAGAAAATGACAGATAGGGACCTATGAAAGAGAATATAACACTCATGTTCTAACCAATATACACCTGTTTTCTAAATTAGCTGTTTTAGATGCTAATGGGCCTCTATTTATATTTGCTATCAATCAGCAAAACCTAAAACCAAATCAAAAAAATCTATTATAGTCCTAAATTTAAATTACTTCCAGAGCAATATTATTTATTAATACCCATTTGAAAAATCTAAAAGGGGATGCATATGGAATTAATCTGGTAGTTTTTAAAAAATTAAGAGTCACTGTATCTAAAATTACTTTCTTCCTTTTATAAATGGCACTTGCTACATGTAAGAAACTCTTCCCTAAACTGATGCTGAGGCTAGCATCACAAGATACACTAAGACTTAGACTCTGTGTGGGACTGTGAATCTCTTCTTCAACTCCATGAGCACCAAGAGAGAAATGAGCAAATATAGAGTTAACTTACTTATGATAGCACATATGATGCCCGAGTTAATGCTGACTGCTGATTGATAAAATGCCCTATTTATTTTTTAGAACTAGGCATTAATCTCTAAATAAGGTGATTTCTAGTCTTTACTGTTCTTTGGTTTTCATCAACCATAAGACAGGTAAGAAAATTGTTGTTTTCTCTCTTCTTTTACTTGATAACTTACTGATATGTAGCTTTATCACTATTATTTCAAAGTATTTTCAAGGTGTTGGTACATTTCAATACCTATGAGCAGTTTTTCTTTTCCAAAAAATATGATTAAGTAATTAATACTGTTAAGGGTTAAATTGTTAGAAACTTAAATAGTTTCTTAAATAGTTTCTCAAAACCCAGCTTTCGAGTATGCTTTATTAACTTATAATTAGCACTACAAACAACTGTAATAGCCTTTTAATTTATTGGTCTATACTATGAACACAAGTTGCACAGTTTTAAAATTTTCACTTGGGAAATAATGCATAAATAAGAAACATACGATTATAGAAATGCTGCTTAATCAAAAGAAAGAGATTTCATTAATGAGCAACTGTTCTGCCTAGAAGAAAATGCTTAGTAAAACTGACTTAGATGCAAACCACTGGAGCTTTTATTAACTGTAATTTCCTCCACTTTGCCAAATATCAATAGTAAGATAAAAATTATAACTAGTTAAGACAAGTTCTAGGATTAATACACAATCAGCTTCTAATTCTTCACACAGTTTCAATGATAATGAATACATACAGCAATGACCCTAAACTAGGCAATCTGGTATTTCACTATGCAGATATTAAACATTTATATTTATGATTAGGGTCATTATCATTATAATATTAACTATTAGGGTTCAAATCATACAAGCATTTTGTTCATACAAGCTGTAGCATATTAAGAAACATTACCTCTGTATTAGTATAGTAAGTGTTCCAGGAAGAGCGAAGAGATTCTTGGCCACCAATATCCCACATCAGGAAACACGTATTATTAATCACTATCTCTTCTACATTACTTCCTATTGTAGGGGATGTATGCACAACTTCATTCATGGAGCTGGAACAAAAAGTTCAAACAAAATTACGTGGTGGCTCAGGTCTGTAATCCCAGCACTCAGGAGGCTTAGGCAGGATGATTGTTGCAAGTTCGAGACCAGCCTGGGCTACAAAGTAAGCTCAAGGCCAGCCTGAATTGCATAGTGAGACCCTGTCTCAATAAGCCAAAAAAAAGGGAATCTAGTCTGTTTAACAATTTTCAATCATAGGACAAAGCAGCATGACTTGCTTTTATGTTTTATTCCCAAATATCCTTTCTCCATATCACATATCCATATCCTAGCTCATATCACAAGGAACTTTAGTGTTTACACAAAATTGAAAGTTGGTAACAAAGTATCTAAAATATTCCATACTGCTCTAGGAAACTATATCATCAAATTACCACAAGCAAAACAGCTTCAATGTGGAATAGTTGAAAAACATGCTCAAAGGCATATAAATTTGTAACTCTAAAATGTTGTTTAAATTTGGCTCTTGGTTTATGGCTAACTCTTGTCCTTGACAGACTAACTTGGGTTCTACATAATTTTTATTGCTCTTATTAATTATCACCCAGAAAATATAAAATAAAAATGTTAAAGTAGTTAATACTTACAACTGGTAAAGGATGGTAGTTTTCCCTGCATTGTCCAACCCAACAATGATAACTTTGTGTTCTGAAATAAAGAAAACACCAGTGACTTATTATTTATAGACAAAATAAAGAAAAAAGAAAAGGATGAAAGGGAGGGAAGGAGGAAAGAGGACAAAAAGAAGGGAATGGAAAGGAGAAAGAGAAAACATTTCTATTTCACCCTTCTTTCTGTGGTGTAGTTCAGTGTGTAACAATTATGCCCTCTGGGAACTCAAAAGAACAGACTAGCAAGACCAGCAGAAGTATGCTATTAAGTTCATCTTTTTTTTGTTTTTAACCCTTCTCATTCAACATGGAGATCTCTCATCTTTTCAACATCTTTTGTGTGTGTATGATATTAGTCTTTATTAAATAAAAAATTCTGATCACCAGAGGATATCATTAAAAAGGTGAGAAGACAAGCCACAGAGCAGGGGTTGCTAGCAATTCACTAGGACTCATGCAAAACACCTGAAGAAATTATTTTGGGTGGTTGTTCTAAGAACTAAACCCAAGAAAAAGACATTTTATGCCATATTCTATATATGGGCATATTATTCTTCTAGAGAGAAAATCAGTAGCTCTCATCAGATTGACTAGTGGTTATAAGCCCTCAAAATTTTATTTTAAAGATAATAAAACCCAACAAACAAACACAATAAAGCCAATCAAAACAAAGCAGGGAGATTGGTACAGAACTTTGAAGCAGGATGACAGAAAATCAACAATGGCTATCACAGTTTTTGTTATCTTCACAATAGTTGTCCATTCCAACAACATAAAAAATCAAACCAAACAAAACAGAATAAAACCAATCAAAACAGAACATTGAATAAAGCAAAAACAATAAATTGAAACAAAACAGTGAGAACAATATTGGATTTCAAAAAAAAGATAGAAGAAAATCCCCCATATTTGCCACACTGCATACTGTTATCCTCCCAATAAATGCTCAGACCACCAGCCCCACGCCTGCAAAGTCAACCAAATAATACAAGCATCCAGTTGTCTTTTGTACTTCAGTTACTATCAACTCAGCCTGTCCTCTGAACCAGTCAGCTGCTTGCAGGGGGAAGGGGGATCTTCATAGACACATAGGAGGCGCTTTCCGGCTTCTCTCTTCCTAGGGCCCTGCATGGCTTGCCTGCACAGCTTACCAGATCTAACTGGCTTTTTCTTCTGATAGGCTCCTCCCAGAGCCAGCACATGAGCTGCTGATTCACGGGGTGGGGGGGCCCACTTTCTGGTTCCTCTCTTCTTAGGCACTGTAAGGCTTGCTTACCAGAATATCTAATTCTAACTGGTTTCTTCTTCTTGATGGGCTCCTTCCACAGCCAGTATGTTTTCTGCCTCTTCAACATCCTCTTTAAGAGGCCAGAAGTATATTCTTTTTTCTGCTGTAGGACACTATTCTCAGTGAAGTATTCCAAATCCAACAGTAACAATCTACATGTAAATTATAAATGCTTCACACTGGATTAAATTGCCAAAGTTTTGAGGGCAGAATTTTAGGCATTACTTTGGTACGTATATATGGAAGAATAGGGTGAATGGGAAAACGAAGGTGAGTCTTTGAAATGTGTTAATTCTAAATCAATATTAAGAAAAAATCAATCATATTTATGAATACATTTAAACATCAAACTGTTTTATAACATGACAAACATGGCTATGGGGGTAATGAGTCTCTCCTCACTTGGTTTCCGTGGCATTGCTTTTCCTAAGTTTTCTTCCTATTTTGTGACAATTTTTTTAACAGACTCTTAAAAAAAAAAAAAAAAAAAAAAAAAAACCAAATTAACATGACCAGGCTTCCTTCAAACTACTGTGCTTCCAAGGATGCCTGTCTTCTTGAATCTACTTCACATGCTGGCAAAGCACCTTAGGCCTCTTATTTTCAGGCTGTCTAAAAACAGCAGAGTGAGAAGAGAAAGCTAGTTTCCAAAGAGGGTTCCTGGCCAGGAATGGTGGAATCTCAGCACTTGGGAGGCTTAACCAGAAGGACTACCCCAAATTCAGGCCAGCCTGAGCTAATAGTGAGCTCAAGGCCAGCCTGAACTACAAAGCAAGACCCTTTCTCAAGCTGAATCAAATCAAAACAAGGAGGATTCCTCCTAGATAGTCATATCGTTGGGTAGTTCCCTCTCGAATCTGAAGTAGCTCTGAGAATCACTTTTAATCTACAGAAGCAATCATGTGTGACTTCTAGTCTAGATCCCCAAGGAATCCTGCACTTGCTACCTGGCTGTTTTACACAACTCTCACCAGGGTAAACTGGACACTGTTAACATGTCCACGATTGCTTTGCAGTTGAGGGAGGAAAACCAGGCTGATCATGTGGTGAGACTTTTTGGAAAAACAAAATCAGCCAGTCCCTAATAGCCAGCCTCCTCAGCTCTTTCAGGAATTCTAGCTGAGAGGCCAAACACATGAATAAAGAATACATTTTAGAAATGCAACCTGGTTGAATCTTCAGATGACTGTAAGTACAGCTGCCAGCTGACAAACAAATCTCCAAGCTAGACTTGTCTAGCTGACATCAGTTAATTCATATAACCATGAAGGATAATAACAACAATGGCAATAACAGTGATAACAACATTCCAATAATATGCTTGGGATTATGTGATCTTGGCAACTATATTGCCTTTAAATTTCTTCATTGTAAAACAGAAAAACTACCTATCTTTCAGGGTTGTGTAATAAAGTATTATTGTACACAGCAGTGCCTGGCACCAAGAGACAGTCCCTAATCTGCTGTAATTGTTAACTGATTGTGTCAAAGCAAGTAAGAAATGTCCAACTAAACTGGATCAGTATAATTCTGGATGTAGATAAAGGGATTTGCATAAGACAGATGATCTACCCTGAATGTGAGTGACAGTCACCAGTAGGCTTGCGGCCTGAGTGGAATACAAGGGAAATGAAGAAAGGCTTGTTGTTCTTTGGAGGAACTTCGATTTTTCACCATTATCTTGGATGTCCTCTCCTGGCTTCCAGCGCAGATTCTTCAACCTCCTCATGTGGACTTGCACAGGACACTGCACTAAGCTCAGACCTTGAACTGGATCCTTTGGATCTCTACCACACAGAAGCCCTTTCATATTTTTCCACATCTGACTCTGTGAGTGGCCACTGCAAGCCAATCTTGTGAACTCTTGTATATTTGTGTATCTTGCATTTAATCTTCTAGTAAGCACCAATACAGCCATATTCCCAAATCTCAATTAAACTCCAATCTACCTAGTGGACAGACATAGTCCCACTCCACATGTATTCCAGTACATTAAATAAATAATTTGCAGAATTACTGGCAATAACACTGACTTGGAGTCCCTAGAATAGTGGGGGTGACCCTCTGGCACACATTCTACAGCAGGCTTTGTTACCACTGAAAGCCCAAAAAGCTTTGCCATCATTGCCCTCCTTGTAAGTTTATTCCTTTTTCCCCTCAACATTTCATGTTACCAAGTTTCACTTATTCCATCTCAAACATACATCCTCAAACTTGCCTCTTCTCACTATCCTAGCTCAACCCTGCCCTATTTCTAATTGTAAAGCTTTACCCAAGTAATCAATCTCTAATCCATCTTTCCACTGTTTCCTGACTAAATTCACTACACAGCAGAATTGACAATGCCATTCTTAATTTAAATTATGGTTCTCAATTTTGACAGGAAACATGGCACAAGTTTTCAGCCATGTAAACCAAGCCAGTCATACATGACTAGGCTCTGGTTTTATCTTCTCACCACCCTCAGCTACCCAAAGTTTAAGACTCCAGATTCACAACAAATGTTTTTCTACCTCTACTCATGGTTTCTCCTTATCCTGGGATTATTTTAATTCTCCATTTAGACAATTCCATCTTTTAAGGTGTAGTTTTCCATGGAGAATACATTTTTCTGCATTTCTACAATATCTCAAACATCATACTTATCACAATTATTTACATATGCACAAATCTTAGCTAACGAGTTATCCATCAAATGTGTAAAACATGTATTACCAACTTTATATTCCTAGTGGCTATGATTCTTCCTAGCACAAGGTTTGTACTTAACACATGTTGAATTAATATTATTCTATAAGAAACAAATTTTGAGAATTTTAATATCTCTGAGTAAGGAGGTCTTTACAATTCAAATGATAGTTATTTCCCAAGTAGTTACCACTTATCAAAAAAGGGAATTTATAGTACTGTACAGTTATTCTTGTTATACCATTGCCATAGATAGGGATTATTAATGCACTTTTGTCGTACAAAAATAAGAAAATCAAGTAAGTAGAAAAATTTAATACAATCAATATTATCTAGTCACCGATTTCTCTGGAAAGAGAGTAAGTCCTTGAAACCACAATGGTTCTCAAACAATCTGAGTACTCTCCTCCGATAGAGATTCTTAAGACATTTTCAAGATTTCATTATTAGAGATGATTAAGTGAAGGAACAGAGAAAAGGCTCATTTACGAAGGTGTCACTCAAGCAAAGAGTTAGCATTCCTCTGGTGAAGTTTCAAGACTTTTAGTCTTCCAGGTTCATAAATTTAATCCTCTGATTATCTCAAAGGAGACAGACTCAGAAATGGCAACCCATAGTAATGAGTAAAATCTAAGAATGTCAAATGAGTAACATATAATAAAAGCAAATCTTTAAAACTGCCTGACAAGCTGGGTACAGAAATGTGTACCTGCAATCCCAGCTACTTCTAAGGTTGAGATGGGAGAACCACAAGTTTTTGGGCACCACAGGACACCTTATGTCAAAAACAAAACTGCCCAACCAACAAGTGTAGTCTTTTCATCCAGGCCTAACACAACCTACTTTGATTACCAACTTCTAGACAGATGGTTTCCCTCTGAGGGTTTGTTTTGTTTGGTTTACAATAAAACATACATGAGTATCTCTTCCTGAGGAAAAGTATACAGTGAGACTGAACTAAAATCAGAAGATTACTGGGACAGCATGGAACCCCCCTCCAAGGGTGTGATAATCAATGAATCCATCTTTATAGTCAGGCCATGACTATATCAGAACCAGAT